AGTACATTGATAATTTACTATGCAGTCAGTATCCCGAGAAAAAAAAAAACAACGTATGGATGCAAAACGCTTAGTGGTTTCGGCTGACTACTAATACGTGCACTTTGTCTCAAAATATCCCGGATAGTTGTTTCATTACCAATCATACCACATCTCCTTATTTTTATATATACGAAAGCTTTATTCATATTCTTTGGTGTATTGATGAATGTGTAAAGATACATTTTAAAATACAGCACAAGAGATGCAGATTATATAAAACTTATAAGTCGAAGACATACTGACAACGCCATGGCAAAAACTTAAAAACGACCAAATGACGTACAACAGTCTATAAAACTTAACTATAGCATACAAAACGCAAACATTTCACATAAGAAGCACCCAGACAGTCAAATAGAAATTAAAAGAATAAATAATTTGTAAACTAAGCCGCCTACAGCTATATTTTCTTATCATCTAACAGTAAACATAGGTTCTGGTATTATGTGATAAGTCATTTTTTCATGCAGACCCAGTTTCATTGATACTTTGAACTTAAAGTGGTTTTATGCATATCAGCCCAGATTATCATATGTGTGTAATTTTATTAAACAATTCAACAATACACATTCTAAACAGGTTAAATTCAATTTACAAATTCATATCTACTGGCATTCAACACCCAATTACTTACTTGCTGTATATTGCTAACTTTGATTGTATATTGTCAATCCCTCAACATCGTGAATACGCCATGCGAGGTGTTGGCTATGTTTGATACAGGGTGGCGGTTTCGAAGCGTAGAACAAAATCCAGGTAAATGAAAGTATAAAATTATGTTGTTGAAAATTTTAAGTACTAAATTCCTAAATTTGTACTTAACTCCGTTCTACGGGTAACATGGTTGTTTGATATGAAAATAGGATAAAAGCTTCCGAAAATTATCACATTATAAGTATTCGTAAATGGATATGAAAAAACCTAACAAGGAATAAGTATTGGTAAACGGACAGAAAGTCGCAGTACAAAAGTTTAAATTAATTATTTTACAATTGTTTAAATATATGAGAGAAAGTTCTTGACGAATTGACTTTATTTATAGATAAATGTATTTAGCTGAGGAAATGATTAATTCGCCTTCAAATAGTTTTTTTTTTTTATCAAAAACTTATATAAAGGAGACATTTTTGACAGCATGAAGCCAGTTAATTACCAAACCACTTTGGCAGATTGTTTTCTTAACAATCATTGTTCAATATTAATATTCAAAAATAAATTTTGTTAACAAGTCCGTTTCCTTTTAAAAATATTTCATAAAAATGCTGAAACGTTTTTAAAATTAAGTTTATTCAAAGAAAAAAATATCCCAAAACTGAATCGTGACTTTTTACTTGTTACTTTATGTTGTACGTTCTAAGTGTCAATCCTAGCAAACACAAATTTGGAAATAAAATCGATTACAATGTAATTTTATAGAATAAAAAAGGGGGGTTAATGAACAAATTATTACTATACACTCATATACTTCTAAAAAGATTTGAATTTGTAAGCTGTCTATAGATAATGTTAAATTATTTCAAGAGTTTCAATTAATTTAGGAGAAAAAAAAGATTATAAACAGTTTAGTTTTCGACGCCTACTACTACAAAAAAATAGTGATTCTTTTTGTAGATTTGGTACTTCAGTTTCGACTCAAAATTTCCTATTGAAATTGTTAGATGCCAAATATTTAGAAGAATATTGTATTTGTAATTTATGTAATTGTGGTGATATTGGCGACGCGATTCATTATATTATAGCAAGGATTTGTACAAATCCTTGATTATAGAATGTTCGGCAATAGACGAAAGTAGACACACCCTATTTAAACGGGGTTTTGATCTCCAAGGACGCCACATTTAACATCGAATAAGATCTATATTTTTTAACGTTTTCAAATGAAATAACTTGAATTGAAAATTTCCCGACTATGTGAAGATTTCTTATATTTCTAAATGGCTTCAATTATTACATACAAAACGAAAAATGTATTAAACTTCTTTTTGTAAAAACAATATTCATGTGTTTATAACCGTCAACAATCAGTCCTAATTATTAAAGATCAAACGACCTAATCAAAATGATGATTGGTATTGAATATGATCATCGGTCATGCATGACGTTTCCCAAATAACTTCTTTAATGTTGGGTTGATTTTATCAAAACCAAAATAATAAGATCAAAAATTAAATTATCTATCGAATGTATACCCTCAACGCTCACTAAAACATATATGCATGTCCTGAGTGACTTTTTATGTCCTGTCTGCACTCAGGAGGTCCTGAGCGATTTTTAGACGTACCGTTAGCTGTTCTTAATTTTGAACATTATCTATAGGTATACATGTATCAGACAAAAAGACTTTCCAATGAACTTAGTTCTAGTTATCTTATGTCCTAGTCACAGGCACTTATAGTCTCAGAAAAAAAATGTCCTATATACTTTTAATGTTATATTAAGGTATATAGGAATCAAAATTCTGAGAAAAGTGCCAGTGGTCCTTGTGTGAAATAAATCCACTGAGAATTGGCCTTTTTAAACACATCTATATATACGTTTTCTCAAGGGTTTGTACATGTAAAGTGAAATTATGTTTACTCAATGCGTAGTTACAATAGACAATAGACAATATTTATAAGCTCAAACACATTTACATTAAATGGTTATGGCATACAGTATTGAGACAAGAAACTGACAATAGTTAAATTGACTATAATTATATTAGAGTGGCAGTGGTATTCACAGGGGAAAAAAAAAAAATAAATATGTGTGTATCGACAATTAACACATTATTAGTGTTCATGAACAAAAACAAAAAAAAAAAAAAAAATTAGGATACATATTAAAAGAAACATAAGTTATACAGATGTTCTCAATAAAAAAACAAGCATTAATATACTTTATGGTGATTTTTATAATGACTGGCAGACTGCTATTTAAAAGTGCGGTCATATGCCTCAGTGTTATAGGTGACTGCAATTTAATAAAATTGAAATTAAGATTTTTATTAATATTTTGTATATAGGTATCCCTCAATGATGTATAGCATGGACTGACTGAGAAGAAATGGTATTCATCCTCAATTTCTTGTCTACTGCAGGATAGGCAAATAACAAATAACATAAGTTTATTTGCTACTTTTCTTCTTCTTTATTTTATATAAATGATTTTTTTTCTTCAAATTTTAACATTTTTTTCTTCGAAAAATGTGTAGTGTTGCAACAGGGAATGGACACAGATACTTAACTACATTTAACGAAAGAAATTTTGTGTAATGTCATCAATCTGTATTACACATCGACAGGATGTTCTCTAGAAAACTATGGTTACCGTATTTCTAAAACGTTATACACACCCCAGGGTACACGCACTGTCGTAATGGAAAATTACTGCATGCTTTAATTACCTGTAATCAGCCATGCAACAAATCAGTTGACTGACCATGTCATTACAGTTTTAAAAGTTTTTCCTTAGATCAAAACGGAATATTTATTTTAACTTTAAAATTTAAAACTTTAAAAAGTATACTTTGCCATAATTATGAAGTAAAAGAATTTAACAATTTAATAATTGGATTTTTCCAAAGATTAAGATACAATTATATTTATTATTCTGGGACTGACAGATATATCACAGGCACTTGTCTCAGACCCCCCCCCCCCCCCCCCCCCTATATACCTACCTTAATTAAAGTATATAGAATTTTTTTTTCTGAGACAAGTGCCTGTGAGGTATATACATGCATAAGTCCCAGACATATATACTTGTAAATCAAAATGATTTAAAAATTACTGGGAAATAATATAATGTTTCAGTTATGTTGACGTCACAAATACACATGAATTATTTGATGATGCATGCTGGAATTTCTTATCTAAATGCATGACGGTGACCACAGACATATATATATATCCATTTACTGATTCTATAATTTCTTGAGAAAAAAAATCAGGAGGGAAGTCAGAGGGAAGTGAAACAAACATTTTAAGCTTTTATTAAACATTGTTGGGAAAACAATAAAATACGACACTGAGTTTTGAAAAAAAAGTTTATGATTGGTCTTGATTTTTTTTTTTAATAAAGATAGAAACAATTTTTTGTCCCAAGAAAAAAAAAACAATGCCCCCTTATTATAATGCCACACCGACACACGCCGATGAATGGAGAATTCCAAGTAGGGTCACAAGGTCACTTTTTCAGTCGCCCAGTCTCAAAAAGCAATTTTGACTGGCATTGTTTTTAGTCGAATTATATTTTTGCAGGTCAGGTTGCAAAGTGGCAGGTGGGATTTGACCATGTTGACAACGGTCCTAAAAATATCCGAAAAAACGTTGAATCAAACGATATGAACCTACACAGTTTTATATTATAAGACTGACACACACCAGTGTGCTAACTGTGCTGGGCGAGGTGCTGTAACTTGATATACATGTATCATTAAGTGACAGTACTGTTAGGATTTGCCTGCCTTTTTACAGGGACTTTCTATACTAACTGCTAGTATAGACCGTCCCTGGCTTGAAAGTATGGTTCTCTGCTCAGCAACGGGTGCGTGATTGTAGCAGTAAAATACATCGGGGTGGGGGAGGGGGAGGGGGCACTTCAATACTTAATTGATAGGGGGTGTCGCTGGGGTTCTGTTACCCCACCCTTTTCATATAATTTAGATCTTAAAAATGTATACCTTTTCATATATTGCGTGGGTAAAATTGTAACCTTTTCCCATATTGGTTGGGTTTCGTGGGGTGTGTTGGAAAAGTGGAATATTTAAGGCTAAGATTCTGTGTGTAATGTTTACTTACGGCGAGACTTTCGGCTGTGAAAAAATGACAGGGCTTTGCATATACAAGTAATTGGAACTTTATCGACCTTATCATATATTTCTGATAGTTTTCCCCACCTATTCCCATATTTTCAAGCTGGAAAAAGTGACCTATTCCAGCGGCACGTCCTATCACCTTGTATGTAGGACCCCCCCCCCCCCCGAGTAATATACGCAAATGTATAAGTTAATACCTTAATTCAGGAGCACAGTCTGTCTTTACCGTAAATAACTTCGAGATTAATATGTAAGTTTACTTTGCTTATCGATGTTCCTGTAATTCAGATTTATATTTATTTGTGAGACCCCCGTCACTTTTTATATTCACTCAAGAGTCACTCAAAGAAAGGGGTTCTCCGTTACTGGGAAAATCTTATCTGATTTAGGATCAATTTATTGGTTACACTCCCCTATCACCAGTGATTCTTTGTTGTAAGCTGACATTCTGAAAAAGGTATACTGTTTACTATCAATTTGCATGATTAGCTACAGATGTCGAATCGGACTACTGCAAAAGACAATAATTCAGTTCACTGATTTAGATTGAATAGTGGTTCGGTTAATTCTCCTTTTCCCCAAACAAGTAAGAATTAGGTTACATCTTTAGGTAGTCCAGAGACATATATACAGATGTGTATATATGTCTCTGGGTAGTCAAAATAATTATGACGTCTTGCAAGACTATTTTAATTTTTTTTCTATCTATCTATCTTCATTTTTCCGCACTCAGTCACAACTTTGACTATTACGTGCCCAGAAAAAAGTTAAAATAGCCTTGCAAGACGTCATAATTATTTGGACTAATCTTTTGGCAAATATGGTTGTACAACAGGGGTTTTCTACAATTTGCCGGATTTTCTATCCTTACGAACCCTGAAAAACTAACCAGGCCAGGTGATAAAAAATCTGTCTTCACTTTTTATCCCACCAGAAAATCAAAAGGTTGTCTCCATTTGAATTTTATTAGGGGGGGGGGGGGGGGGGGGGCTAGGATGAAATTTGAAAAAAGGCAGGACAGGAGTTTTGAGTAAAAAAAAAAGGCAGGATGGGCAACATGGCAAAAAAAAAAGGCAGGATGACAATTTATGTAAAAAAAGTCAGGATAAACTAATAAAGAAAAAGGCAGGACCGAATAGAGTGAAAAATATAAAGGCAGGACAGAGATCACAACTTAAAAAAATATGCAGGACAACTTTTTTCACCCTAGCCCCCCCCCCCCCCCCCCACACACACCTAAAAATCAAATGGTAACTCCCTTACACCTACATGACAAAAACATATACAAATATGGTATCATTGGACATTGCCAATGTGACGGCTCTTCAACAGAAACTAAAGACGTAGAAGTTAACAACTATATAGGTCACCGTACAGATTTCAACAATGGGCTAAAAAGCCATACTGCGTAATAAGCTACAAAAGGCCAAAATAGATAGACAATATCTGACAAGGGTAGAAATGTTCAGAATGTTGAAAAAAAAATCTACTGTCCATTTAAATGGCATCAAAACTGGCAGCTGACTCATAGGAGTTGTTGCCTTAAATACAGATTTTTACCTTTTTTTTTTCTTCATATTTCTTGAATTTGCCTTTTTATCTCTAAAACTGTAATATTTAAACAGAAACTTAAATCTTATTAAAAAGTTATTGCTTTTCAATGATGATTTTGATCCAGTTTTTGCAAAAACTTGGAAACTTTAAATCTTGGGTAAACTCCTTATATTATACTGCCTGGTCTCGTGGTAGCGTGTTCACCTCAAGTGCAGAAGGTTGTTTATTTTGAAACCAATGGGGTAAAACATAAGACTTTAAAGTTGGTATTTGCTGCTTCTCCCCTAAGCACGCAGTATTATTAAGGAGTAAGAGCAAATACTGGTTTGTTCAGAGTCAGAATTATGTGTCAAGGTAAGGTGACATGTCTCTCTGAGAACTAGTGTAAGAGATAAATTAGTCCTTGTAAAAATTGTCTGGTCAGACAAATATAACTAGTATAAAAAGTCCATGGATACAGAATTTACTAGTATATTTAGTCCGATGTCAGTAATTTATGTCCCCAGACTAATTTTCCTAGTCCAAGACATCACTATTCCTAGGTAAAAATGTCCAGTTTTTATACGGCCGCAAAAAAATTTTGCGGTCGTATATTGGTATGACATTGGCGTCTTCGTCCGAAGACACATTGGTTTTCGCACAATAACTTTAGTTTAAGGTGGTACCTAACACTACAGGGAGATAACTCTGTAAAAATCAGCTAAACGTTTTAATTACGATGTATTGTTAAGGAAATATTAAGCTTTTCAATGATCAAAATTAGTGTTTGTCAAACTGCTATATAACCAATGAAATTTTTCTGATAAAGTGGTTGGTTCAAATTTTTTGAAATTTTCATATTTTTGTCAAAGGGTCAAAGTAAACATTTTGTCAAAATTTTATGAAAATTAAACGAGCCAAATTAATATTAGTCAAGGTGTTGGGTACCACCTTAAGTGAATGGATCTCTATGAAATTTTACCATCAGGTTCAATACCACAAAAGGAAGGTTGGGAATGGTTTTTTGGGATTATGGTACGAACAGTTAAGGAATTAGGGGCCAAAAAGGGGCCAAAAATAAGCATTTTTGTAACTTCCAGACAATAACTTGTGTGTTAGTGTATGGATCTCTCTGACATTGTACCACAAGGTTCCATATCACAAAGGGAATGCTGGGATTGATTTTGGGGGTAATTGCCTCAAAAGTTTAGGAATTAGGGGCCAAAAAAGGGGCAAAAAACAAGCATTTTTCTAGTTTCATGACAATAACTTGTGTGTAAGTGTATGGATCTTTCCGAAATTGTACTACAAGGTTCCATATCACAAAGGGAAAGCTGGAATTGAGTTTGGGGGTAATTGCCCAAAACGTATAGGAATAACTTAAGGGGCCAAAAAGGGGCTAAAAATAAGCATTTTTCTAGTTTCCAGACAATAACTTGTGTTCAAGTGTATGGATCTCTCTGAAATTGTAGTGCAAGGTACCATACCACAAAGGGAAGGCTGGGATTGATTTTGGGGGTAATTGCCTTAAAATATTAGGAATTAGGGGTCAAAAAGGGGCAAAAAACAAGCCTTTTTCTAGTTTCAGGACAATAACTTGTGTGTAAGTGTATGAATCTTTATGAAATTGTACTACAAGGTTCCATATCACAAAGGGAAAGCTGGGTTTGAGTTTGGGGGTAATTGCCCTAAACGTTTAGGAATTTGGGGCCAAAAAGGGGCAAAAAAAACAAGCATTTTTCTAGTTTCCAGACAATAACTTGTGTTCAAGTGTATGGATCTCCCTGAAATATTGTACTGCAAGGTACCATACTACAAAGGGATTGAGTTTGGGAGTGATGAATCATAAGGGGGTTAAAAAAATTGGGGGGGGGGGGGGATTTTTTTTTCCTTTTTTTTTTTTCTTTAAAATTTTCCATTTTAAGTTGGTTATTTTTTATTTATGTATAAAAGCAAATAATTATGATATGGTTTGATTTCATCAAAAATTGAAATATTGGGGTTCTTTGATCATGTTGATATGCTGAATTTAACCGTGTATTTAGATTCTTAATTTTTGGTCCCGTTTTCATATTGGTCTACATTAAGGTCCAAAGGGTCCAAAATTAAACTTAGTTTGATTTTAACAAAAATTGAATTCTTGGGGTTCTTTGATATGCTGAATCTAACCGTGTATGTATTTAGATTTTGGATATTGGACCATAATAGGTAAATTAAAAATTTTTAAGTTTTTAGACCACATTCATTCTGTGTCAGAAACCTATGCTGTGTCAAATATTTAATCGCAATCCAAATTCAGAGCTGTATCAAGCTTGAATGTTGTGTCCATACTTGCCCCAACTGTTCAGGGTTCTAACTCTGCGGTCGTATCAAGCTGCACCCAGCGGAGCATTTTATTCTAATACTGTATGCAACATGTCAAGTATATTTGGTGTATGAAAATTTTTAAGGATGTACATGTTAGTCTGGCATGTTTTATTCGACCTTGACCTCATTTTTATGGTTCATTGCTCAATGTTATTTTTTTGTTTTTTGGTCAGTTTTTCTATTTTCTTATTTTCAAATTAGCAATAGGTCAACTATATTTGGTGTATGGAATGATAGTAAGGTGCATATCATGATATGTTTGACTGAGAAGTTTCGTCTTACCTTGACTTTATTTTCATAGTACATTGGACAATGTTTAGTTTTTGTGGTTTGGTCTATTTTTCGGATACTGTAAGCAATAAGGCCCCTATATTTGGTGAATGGAATGATTGTAAGATGCACATGTCTGTCTGGCATGTTTTATATGACCTTGACCTCATTTTCATGGTTCATTGGTCAATGAAAAGTTTGCATTGTTTTGTCAGTTTATCATATGCTTTAAGCAACAGGTAAATTATATTTGGCGGATGTAACGATTGTAAGGTGTGCATGTTTGTCTGGCAGATTCATATAACCATGACCATATTTTATGGTTCTTTGGTCAATGCTAAGTTTTCTTGGTTTTTTCTTTTTATCAGATATTATAAGCATATGTCTACTTGTAAGTGTATGGAATGACTGCAAGGTGTCATATAAAAATAAGAAGTTGTCTGTCTGCCAAGGTTAATATTACTGTGACCTCATTTTCATAGAATATTGATAATATTAAAAAAAAAAAATGATGACCATGACAAGATATACAAATGATCCAAAATTGTCAGTTGCCTACTAATTATGTAATAGTAGTTATTGTCATTAAATGATAATGTTTACCCTTTTATGTGTAGGGCAAGAACATTAAAGATAAAGGGAAACTATAAACAAAAGAGATAATCAACAAAAATAGATTTACAGACGTCAACAAAGCCTAAATGGTAAGTCCACTTTTATAAAAGTTATTGCCCTTGAATAATGATTATTATGAAAATAAGATGTGGTATGATAAATGAGAAAACTATCCACCAGAGTTCAATTAAGTGGATGAAAGCAATGCAATTACTTATTAGAGGCCAATGATGACCTGTAAATAATGAGAAAACCCACATAATATAGTCATCTATAAAAGACACCACAAACAAAATTTGGAACAAAACATCAATTCAAACTTCAAATATACCAGACTAATTCATAGAAAAGAACAAGTTATGAAAAAACAAATATGACGGACGTGAACCAACATCAACCACTGAACTATGTACAGGCTCCTGATTTTGGACAGGCAAAATACGGCAGGGTTGATATAAAAATAAGAAGCGGTATGATTTCTCCAATAAGGATCAAATGACATGAAATTTAACAAAATTAGTTCATTGTACAGCCTTCGATAATGGCCATGAAATTCAAAAAACAAATGTAAAACAATTCAAAAAGGGCATGTGTCATTTAAAAAGGGCATAATGTCTATCCATGCTAAACATGCTTGGGGGAAACACCACAAAGGCGAAAGCTAAGTGCCTGATTTTTGCACAAAACAATAAACAAAAAACAAATATGATATATAGCAACAATTGACAACCACTGAATAACAGGCCCCTGACTTGGGACAGACACTTACAAAATGTGGCATGGTTTAACATGTTTGCTGGCGCCAAATCCACCTCTAATTAAGGACAGTGGTGTAAGTGTCAGTTCAATATAAAAACTATAAAATCAGTTGAAAAGGGCTTTTTTCTGCTCTTGGGTCAGGTTATTTTTATACATTCCCGTTTTCATTCTCAATTTTATTAACTCATTAGAATGCAACAAAGCAGCTACCAAAAACACAAACCGTATGTGGCTGGAAATTTATTCTTTCCCTATAACAAAAAAGACTCAACATACAGATCTATTAGTACTTACAGTTACTGACAGCTAATTCATAGCGAATATCAACTAATAAAATAAACGTTTTGTGAGCACCCATCCCACCCCTAACCTAGGACAGTGGTTTTAATAACAGCACAACCTTTGAACAAACTGTAAACATTTGTTGCAATTGGTTTAACTCAAAAGACTGCAACAAGGCACAAAAACAACTAATATGAAAACCATAGACACAAAGCACTGAAATAAGAGTTCTTACAATTTTAAATATTCAAATGAAAGTTTTATCAAAATGTACATAAACATGATAAAGTAGCCATTTTATTGCTGTATTTCTCTTCATTTATTATTTTTGAGTTTTGTGTATTTGTAGGTCAGACATCTTGGTTTTCATGATCATCATTCAACAGGTCAATACTGAACAGAAAACTTAAAGTTGATATTTTTCTACATAGTGTGACTTTTTTATTAATTTGAAATGGAATGTGTTTTTTTCCTACATAAGAAAGAGGAAATTTCAACATAATGACTATAAACAAAAAGGAGTCATATTATCATGATCACAGATGCACAAGAACTAAATCATGTAAATGCAACAACGTAATATCAATTGAAAGAAGGGAGGAATGAAAAAATATATTAGTATTTTGTTGTCCAAATGAACTTGCTTTGTCCACTCATTTAAATCGCTCCATCCAATAAAGATGTACGGAGGAAGATTTTTGAAGAACAGATTGCAAAAATGTTTTGTCTAAGAATTGTAGGAATATTCTAGTGGATGAAATAATTTATTTACTTGACTCTTATATAGTGGACTGAATAATTGTACATAGCAAGCTGAAACAAGAAAACTAAAACTTAACAGGAAAAGTGTTTATTTTATAAATTTGCAAATATAAACGTAATATTATGAACACCACAAAGGTATAAGATTCAAATCGTTTGCATATTCATGTATTGCAATGGAACTATAACAAAGAAAACTTTACCTCATTAAAAGAGTAAACTATTAACTGTGCTTTGTCAATTTATTCAGTCAGAATATGAAATATTTTTTTCAGTTCTATTTTTCATAATAAAACAAACAAGACAAAGATTTCAAATCAATATTTTTTCTTTTATTAAGACATGTCATCATTTTATTTCAGATAAAGGATTTTATTTTTTGACTTTAAATATTATTATACTTTCCAAAATAATAATAATCTTTATTGTCATATAAACAAATTAAAAACATGTTTGTGACAAAATGAAAAAACCCAAAATACACTCATATTTATATTATAAACTTTTTACTACCAAACAGCATTTATTGTAACATACACATTACTGTATATTTATAATTTGAATTCCATAGGATTTTATTTTGTCCCATGGGATATTAAAAATCCCATGGGATAATTATAGTCCCATGGGAATTTTTTGGTCCCATGGGACAACAAATATCCCATGGGACTACAATAATCCCATGGGACCCAAAAAAATCCTATGGGATTTAACCAAAATCCCATGGGATAATGGTCAATCCCATGGGATTTGCCTTATCCCATGGGATATTGAAAATCCCATGTTTTTCTAAATCAAATTACAAAATATATATAATAATAACAGCAGAAAAGCAATGAAATTATTGAATCCCATGTAATTCCGCACATTTTGGTTATATACACGACACTGTAGCTGTAAGGAGAGGCGGCGGCGGATTTGCAAATGAGTGTTTTGCAAATTAAAAGTGTCCAGTGTTAATATACATATCGTGAAAAACCTGAGATTTTTCGTTTTTGGGGGCGATCAAAGGGAATCTGCCACTAATCATGATGGACAATACTAAAAGTAGACCGTTATAATTTGCAGAATAACTATAACACAAATAAATAAAATGTAAATCAAGTATAAGAAAAAATAAAATGCTTCGCTGGGGCGCAGCTTGATACGACCGCAGAGGTCGAACCCTGAACAGTTGGGGCAAGTATGGACACAAAATTCAAGCTTGATACAGCTATGACTTTGGATTGTCATTAAATATTTGACACAGCATAGGTTTCTGACACAGGATGAATGTGGTGTAAGAACTTGAAAAAATTTAATTTACCTATTATGGTGGAATCTCCATAAACTAAATTGTTTGTTAATTTCAATATATCAAAGAATATGTAGAATTCAATGTTTGATGTAATGTAATAAAGTTGAAATTTGGACCGTTTTTGTTCAATGTGGACCAATTTGGTAACATGTATAAATAATCAAAAATCTAAATTCATGGGAGCCCATTTAAATACATCATAAAGGTATTAAAATAGAAGTGACATCATAGTCATGGCTAAAAATAAACAAAAATCCTTAATCAGCAACATTTAAAGTAATATCTAAAAATAAAATGCCTTTGTAACCATAAAAGCCCATTTAAATACATCATAAAGATATTAAAATAGAAAATGACATCATAGTCATGGCTAAACATAGCAAAAAACCCTTAATCAGCATCATTTAACAGTAATATCTAAAAATGGAAATTACATCATAAAGGTATTAAAATAGAAAATGACATCATAGTCATGGCTAAAAATAAACAAAATCCTTAATCAGCATCAGCAACATTTTATAGTAATATCTAAAAATAAAATTCCTTTGTAACCATAAAAGCCCATTTAAATACATCATAACAGATATTAAAATAGAAAATGACATCATAGTCATGGCTAAACATAGCAAAAACCTTAATCAGCATCATTTAACAGTAATATCTAAAAATAAAAATTTCTTTGCAACCATAAAAGTAAAATAGAAAATGACATCATAATCATAGCTAAAAATAAACAAAAATTTTTTTTATTGGCAAATTTTAAATGGAGTTTATTATACTAAAACAATAAATTTGCAACCATAAACATGATAAAACCCCATTTAAACACATCATAAAAGTATTAAATAATTCAACTACATCATAAGGCTATAAAAATAGAAAATGACTTCATAGTCAAGGCTAAAGGTAAACAAAAAACCTTCATCAGCAAAATTTTATATCGGCAAATTTCCAATGAAGTTTATTACACTAAAATTGTTGGCAAATTTCCAATGCATTTATTAACAATAAAGTTATTGGCAAATTTCCAATTTACATAATTTAAAAGCAGTGTAGATGAGATATTTAAATGAGTTTGAATTACCAACCTTACACTGCTTTTAAATAATGTTCTTTACTCAATTATTTGTCTATTAAAATGGAAACCCTTGTTTTTTAACCTTTTTTCCCCTTATTCCTTAAACATTAGAGCAATAACCACCCCCCCCCCCCCCACCCCCCCCAAAGCCAATTATTACTTTCCAATGTAACCTAAATTTCCAATATACATAATTTTAAATTTCAATTCCTTATGATATATAACCGTATCATTATTATTTTCTTTCATATATAAATCTGAAACAACCATCTTTAAATGGAAAATTTTAAAGAAAAAAAAAAGGAAAAAAAAACATCCTACCCCCCACACATTTTTTCAACCCCCTTTTGATTCATCATCCCCCACCTCAATCACAACCTTCAATTTGTGGTATGGTACATTGCAATACAATTTCACAGAGATCCATACACTTGAACACAAGTTTTTGTTGCAAACTAAAAAAATCCTTATTTTCGACCAATATTTGGCCCCTTATTCATAAATGTTTGAGCAATTAACCCCAAAACTCAATTCCTACTTTCTCTTCGTGATAAAAAATAACTAACTTAAAATGTAAATTTTAAACAACAAAAAAAGGAAAAAAAAAAAATACCCCTTTTTTGACCCCCGCCCCCTTATGATTCATCACCCCCACCCCCCTTTCCCCCCAAACCAAGCTCAATAACAGCCTTGCCTTTGTGGTATGGTACCTTGTAATACAATTTTAGAGAGATCCATACACTTGAACACAAGTTATTGTCTAGAAACTAAAAAATGCTTATTTTAAACCCCTTTTTAGGCCCCTTATTACTAAACGTTTTGGGCAATTACCACAACACTCAATTCCAGCTTTCCCTTTGTGAAATGGAACCTTGTAGTAAAATTTCAGAAAGATCCATACACTTACACACAAGTTATTGTCATGAAACTAGAAAAATGCTTGTTTTTTGCCCCCTTTTGGCCCCTTATTCCTAAAATTTTGAGGCAATTAACCCCAAAATCAATCCCAGCATTGACCCTTTGTGATATGGAATCTTGTGGTACAATGTCAAAGAGATCCATATGCTAACACACAAGTTATGTCTGGAAGTTACAAAAATGCTTATTTTCGGCCCCTTTTTGGCCCCTTATTCCTTAACTGTTGGTACCATAACCCCCAAAATCAATCCCCACCTTCCTATTGTGGTATTGAACCTTATGGTAAAATTTCATAGAGATCCATTCACTTAAACTAAAGTTAGAGTGCGAAAACCATTGTGTATTCGGACGACGACGCCGGACGACGACGACGACGACGACGACGCCAACGTCATACCAATATACGACCTTAAAATTTTTTTGCGGTCGTATAAAAACCAGATTGAAATCTGAAGATAGAGTTATCGCGATAAAATACACATTGTATCAGCTCTTTTTTTTAAATTTCACAAGTCATGCTTTCTTCTACTTGATATACTATGATTTTATCTATTTTTCACAGATCATACATATAGATATAAGACATGACAATACAATTTTGATTTGAAATTGAATTAATAATGTATATATAAACATGATTTTCTTTCGTTTCTAGTTTGTACTAGAACAACCTGCTTTGTTTACATCACCAAAGGGTATTCCCGAATTTTCGATTTCGTATTAATTTATGTCTATATTTAGCAAATTGACAGGTAAGAAAGACAGTTCATTATCGAGTACGTTCTAGAAATTTTGTCTTACAGTATAAAAACCCGATTGTGTGAGAGACTGATTAATCTACTAAAGATTTATAAGGTAAAGCAGTAAGCAATATACAGTTGTAAAACCATGGCTATAATTCCGATTGTGTTGAACCAACTCTTACAAGAAGTCTGTGATGATTTAATAAGTACGAAGCCGTGGACCAATTGCATGTCACTATACGGTAAGCCATATTATAAACCTTGTTCAACAGGATGTCAGCGTTACATTACAAAGAGACCAACTGTCAAAAAGTGGACATACAGTGTACCTATTGGCGATTTTAACGCAGAGGAAATCAAAGTGAAAGTAGAGAACGACAACGTATTCATTAATGCAAAATCTACTGAAGGAAATGAAGAATGGGGCGACATCGTCGAAAGAAATAGAACTGTAAAAATTCCCAAGGATGTTGACAAGGAGAAAATAACCAGCTTCATGAAATCAGATGGATCACTAGTGCTAGAAGCTCCGTTCATCGAAAGCGACGAATCTAAAACCAAAATACTGCCTATTGAGAAACAAAACGAAGACGAGAAAGAAGTTATTTCATCTGAAAGTAAAAATGATTTGATGAACATCGATATTCAGAATTACAATCCAGAGGAAGTCAGTGTAACATGTACGGACGGTGTTATAATAACACAAGGAAAGCGACAGAGATCTGAAAATGGACATGAAATACGAGAATCATTTTATCGTAAGAT